CTGGTCGCGACCGTTCGCTTTTTTTGCATATTGGATAGCACCGAGAAAATGCCACCCTGGCCAAATCCATAGTCCCGGAGCAGGATGCGAGCCCATTTGCGCGCCGATTTTCGGAGGGAGTGTCCCTTTCTTAAATCGACTTAACAAAAGAAAAGAGCGTGGTGGCTTTCTCCCCATCCATGTGATTTTGGTGAACCACGCAAGTGGACAAAGGGCAGCTCCAGCCAGAGGGGGGCATCATCATGGGAATCCAAAATCCTTCTTGCAGGTTCCATGTGATTCGCCCCGTTTGGGTGAATAGCATACAAACACAAGGGTTCTGGGGTATTAATTTAGTGGCGGTTTTAACGGGAAGCCAAAAGGAAACACCGTTGCGCGATTTTGGGGAGGCCGCCCCCAAAAATATGAGCCACCCATGTGCAAAAAAAAAGGGGGGGGGGGGGGGGTTGGAATCAACCAGGTGGCTTAGGAAGCCGGGTTCGGGGCGCCTCCCAAGCAGCCAATTAGGTGCCCGCAGTCAACCAAAATCCCAGCGGAACCATCTGGAACCATCTGGAACCCGGTGCGCCAAACCACCCCAGAAATCGCGAACCGATGTCTGGGCCTATCGATCCCAGACGCTTTCAGTTGGGGGAAAAATCCGCGCCACATCCCACAAGACCTACACCTGGAGCCGAACTCGGCCCGGACACCCCGTCCATCGTCTGGTGGGGTCCATTTGACCTCGCGTTTTGTTGGCTTGGTTGACAGTACCGAGGCCAACAAGACACATTCCACTGGGCTGAAATCAGATTCCAGCTAAAAGATTAACTTTTGGTGTGTCAAGTAAAAAAAAAAACGAAACCCCCCAGTGCACCCCAAAAACAACTAAAAGGCTTAAGAAACCGGATGGCTGAGAACCATCAAGTCCACATTCTTTGCGCTCCTCGAAAGTCGTTGGTCACGTTCAGCGCTCCGTACTTGCAGCGGTCGAAGGGCTTCGACCCTTCGTAGGCGTCCCCAAAGAGCGTCCGCTCCCAACCAATCCTGGCAGGGCTGTGGGTCACAATTGCGTACCGAAAGTGGAACCCTGGTAAATGGAACCAAAGACTAAAACATGCTGTCCCTTGGTGAAAGGAATCCACCCAGTTTTGGGGCTCCGATTCCGAAAAAAAAAAAAAAAAAAAAAAAAAAAAAAAAAAAAAAAAAAAAAAAAAAAAAAAAAAAAAAAAAAAAAAAACACAATTGGAAAAGTAATAGTGGTTTAAAACCCTGACCTAGAGACTAACCAGAAAGAAAGATATGGGTGTCCTTTGAACCTCGGTGAAACTTTTTGGCGGGACAATTAAAAGGACAATCACAGCTTATTGCTTCTTCTTCTTCTTCTTCTTCTTCGTTTTTTGGGGGGGAGGGTTCTCCTGCGGTGGGTTTTTGCACAGACCTCTCTTTTCAGAGCTTAAGATCAAAACCAAATCATGAGAAATGAACAAACAAAACATGACAAATCAAACAAAGGCAACAAACACATGAACATCAACAAGCAAAAATTTTAGAAATCAAGAAGAACGCCAAAAAAGGCAGTGCCCGGCCCTGGAAGGAACGCTCTGGGAACGGAACGGCGCCTGGTCTCATTGCCGTCGTCCAGGGCCCCGCAGGAGGTCTTGGTCTCGAACTGGTTCCGGTAGAACTCGTCGGACTCCAGGAACTGGCCCATCCTCACTGTTGGGAACCTCCCTATCTGGGGGGTCATCTGTCTCACGTGTTTTTTTAGAGCGTCTCGCCCCCCACAAAAAAACGAAGACGAAAAAGAGATAGATATCTAAGTAGATAAATAAATGAATTTAATGGATGAAGAAATTAATGACATATATGTGGTATTGTGCTTTGGTGCCTCAGGGAGGGTTCCGGACTGTTGGGGATACCACCGCCTGGGCGTCTCCTGTAAACCAACCCCAAACAAGACACCTCCGTTTCAACTATTGCCGATTGCGCCATGCGTCCCTTACAATAGGAATCCTGGGAAAACCGCCATTCAGGATCCTTGCCAGGTCACCCCAAGGAAATGGCGCATTTGCAACCAGGAACCTCCATGTGGGCCAACAATGGTTGGTTTGAAGGGGAAGCCAAAGGAAAGCCAACCGTTTGCTTCCCCAAAAAAACAAGGAACACACCGATTTGATGTAGGTGCTTTACTTGAGAGTCACTTGCTTCCAGTTCCTTTGTGTTTTGCCTCGGCCACCAGCAACCCCTCTCGTTTTTGTTACGCCAAGCAAGGCACCCCCTGCCACACGCTTGCCATGCCAGGCGGCTGATCCAGGTGCACGTGGACCACCAGCGGGGCCAAGTCCTTCACCCAGCTGAAGACGGCGTCCATCTCGTAGTCCCCTCGCTCCCGAAGCCGAAAATAAGCGGAGCATCGGATCGGACGTTTTATGGGGCTTCGCCAAACAAGGGGCTTGTGGGGGGGTTGGGGAATCCCAAGATGGTGGAACCTACGTGAAGCTGCGTGCAGGTGTGTATATATATATATATGTGTGTCATGTATACCAGGGGGCTTATATACTTGTGTCTGAGAGGACATGAGGGGTGAGCTTCTGCTTGGTTTGTGGTAGGTCTGTGATGGGAAGGATATTCTCGCAAGTTTTCGTTTTCACGAGCCGCCGAAGCTACGAAGGTTTCCCCAAGACGCAGACGTCCACCACAAACGCCAGGAACTTCTCAAAAATGGGTGATATACTGCACGGATATTTGCGGTGTAGCATCCATACCTCCAAGACCCGTTGGAAAGTCTCTTGAGAGACTGGGCATGTTGATCTTACATGATGGCTTCTACGGTGTCTTGCCATGTCGTGCAATTCGATCGGATCATGGCCCAAGTTGTTGCTTGACAAACCACATGGACCTCCTGTCCCAAGTGAAGCTACCCTGTCCATTCAAGTGGAACTTGACGTTTCTGGGTGCAAGAAGATTCCCTTTCAAAGGGACCAGTTCTCTGCTGGGTTTCACGTCAAGTGGCTGACAACTGCGAAGCAGTATCGTCCCCCTTCGCTTCAGAGATCCTTCTCTTCACAAAATGGTCCAATCCCACTCAGAGTTTCACTTGGAGTCTCAACCTTTCATGGTTGGAAATTAAGCAGCCCTATGTGACAACGATCATCTATACAGCCGCCAGATTACCACCGCACAACCACTCTAGAACCGCTATACAACCGTCATGATAATGTGTCCCCCCATTCCCCGCAAGGTTTCGTGGTAGAATTCCTGCTCATGTGCGATGCGTCCAACCAACCACCAGCCAGAAGGTGTCTACTTCTGTCAACTTCCCTCAAAAGGACACCTATGATCACTAGTCGTTTTAGCCAGAAGTTGCTGCTCTTTTGGCTTTGCACCAGCTCTATGTGCTGAAAAGCTTCCGCACCACAAGACACCTACTGTCGATGTTTGCGAAATCCCTGTGCTGCCCCACCGTTCAGAAACCCAACGGAATGTTCTTTGATCCCTCACCGTACAAACCCAATCAAACGTTCTGGTTTCCACCGGGCATCCTTTTTGGTTGGTTGACTTTAGAGGGGAACCCTTCCCAAAGAGGAAAAAGGGGCGCCACTGGGCAACTGGGTTAAACCCATCCTTGGCTTCTTGAGGGATCGAATCCATGGCGCCCGTTTCTTCTTTCGCATCGCATCTGGGGCCCAGGGCCGTAGCCCAGCGAGGCGAACTTATCGCGGAGCTCCGGCAGTGCGTTCCTCGGAGGGAAAAACATCCGCGCGTCCGGAAGGCTGATGCTTCGGGGTGGTTAGTGCGAAGTGGTGGGTGGGGTGGGTGGGGTGGTTGGTGGGGTGTGGGTGGTTGAGCTTGCTCGTTTGCTTGGTTGGTTGCTTGGTTGGTGGGCGGGTTAGGCTGAGTTTTCGTTCCTTTCGCGTAATCTGTTGGGAAACCACCAAAGTCTGCTGGGTGTTGGGGGTGCAAGCTTCTGAAACAAAGGATGCTCCCAATGCCTCTACACTTTTAGCGCATCCCTAGCACAAGAAAAAATGGTTCCGGAACAGAACAACCGAGTAAAAAAAGTGCGATTGCCTGCCCTTGCCTTTAAATCCTGTGAAATGCCGAAACTGGAAGAAGATATATCTCCTAAAATTCGAAGCTGCAAAACCCCGGCCAGGATGAGGCTTCCCCTAGGAAAGAAAGGGAGAAACCCGAGTAGGGGAAACATACAGTGTGACATATAGCTGCTGAAGGAATTACGCATTGCTTGTCTAACCCCCACCCCCCAATAAAAAAGTGAAAAAACACAGAGGCTGATGGTTTCGTGCGCGTACGCCCGGAAAAGCTGGTCCCACCGCGAAACACATTCAATTCCGACGGGCAAAAGCCTCCCCGGTTGGAATGGATGAATGAAGCTACAGGTGTAAGCCAGCAATCCCAGGTGAGCTCAACTGCGAAGAGTATGTTGGCCATCATGTCCCGCCCAAACCCTTCACCCCATAGGGTTGGTGGATGACCCGATTGCACTTGGGATGTGGATTTACAGGGGGAAAAAACCAGCAGCCCCCGATCGGTGTCTTCCAATAGGGATCGAATGATGGTGTGTTCATTTCAGGGTGGCCTCAACAACACAGACACGCCCATTCCAAACTCCATGATAAAAACAACAATTGAGTCATCCCAACCACCCGGTCGGAAGAAAACCCGTGAAACTAGCCAGCCAAAATTGCCCCTAAGCCAAGTTCATGTATCCAGTGGCCGCCCATCCCGCGGCCGCTTTCCCGGGTCCCCCCGCTCGTGGCTAGCGGAGGCCTGCTGCCGGATCTGCGCCAGCGCCGAGCGCTGGCAGCTCACCAAAGCCTCAGAAGGCAGCCGGGGCGAGACGGGGGAATGAATACATACGTAACAGAGTAACCAAAAATACAAGAAAACTGATAAATACTTTGTTGAATGAATAAATAAACAAATAAACAAATAAACAAATAAATAAATAGTTCTATTTTTGTCAGTTTTAGACATAGAATGATCAATGATAATCAGGGCAGCTGATGCTATTTCGTGGAACCAAAAGCCCACTTTTTTGGCCCTGTGTGCGCATTCTTAGGGGCTTCCCGTTGAAGCCACTAAAAAGGGTTGTCCGTTTGGGGAAACAGATGGATTTATGGATGGCATCAAACCAATCTAAACCAGTGGAACCCATCTGTTCCTGTCCCTAAACCAATCGAAAGGACACCCATCTTATCAAAAAGAACCCAAGCTCTGGTAGTAGGGACACCCGAGAAGAACCCCCCCAAAGTCACCAACGAAAAGGTTTGCAAAAGGGGCTCACCTCATCTCCATTTACCTCAGGATTGCCCTCCAAATCGGCCCTTCGTGTCATGGGTGTGTTCGCCCTTCTAGGGGGAACCCCCAACATTCGAAGGGCGTCCCGACAAAGAAGACCTCCTTGATTAACTTTGGAAGGGGAGCAAACATTCAATTTTCAGCAGTTCAGTGGTTGGACTTCAACCCACTAAACCACAAGAAACAAAAATGCAACACGTTGAGCAAAATCTTGTTGTTGGGAAACATTTCCCACTGGTTGTTGCAATAAGCAAAAAAAAGCAACAGCAACCATGCATCAAATGTAAACAACAACCACTTCCCACCACACAAAATGCAACAAACAAGTCCCAACCCGTCGCCCCACGCCTGGATGGACCGCAGCTCGGACATGGGGAAGACCATGCGCCACATCGCCTGGGAGTCGTCCAGGATGCCCACCTCCCAGGCTGATTCACCCCAGGCTCCAGGCCCTGTTTGCAGATAAAGAAAAAAACATGAGTAAATAAATAAATAAATAAATAAGTACATAAACAAAACACCTAGATACATACATAGCTTTTTTGTTCTGCATGAGTTCTTTGTTTATTGCTTTTGTTGGGGGGGCCCTTTCCCCAGTGTTGAAAAACGGCCGTTGTTGTTTTGGGGGGGGGGGGGGCCGGAGGGGGGGGGGGGTGAGCCTGCGGTTGAAAAGTGGCAATTCGCGGCGCTGCCAGTCCGACGCCTTCGGTCCGGCAGAAGGTTTGTATGTGATGGTTGTTCTGGAGGGAATACCCAAAAAGGAAGAAGAAGTTGGTTTTTCTCAAAATTTAGGTGCACTCCTCCAGGCTTGTTTTGGAGGAGAACGGTGGAAAGGAATGAGGACTTCAAGGGGTTGGGTTGGTTCAAGGGTTTGCCTTTTGAACTAAACAGTGTTCATGTTCCCCGTCACAAACGAAGGTCTTTGCCGGACTCCAAAAATGGAAGCCATTTTGAAGCATCCCTTTGCTGATGGGATCGAAATCCGAAACGAAACCCCTTCAAAATTCATGGCCAGCAGTCGCGCGAAAGCCCATCCCAAATGGGGAAACACACCCAAAGAGCATAGGTGACCTTCTGGAAAACTAGATGGGTTTGCCTGGTAAATGGATGGCATCAAACCCATCTAAACCTGTGCAACCCATCTATTTCTGTCCCAAACTAGCAACTCATGTTCCACCCTTGCAGGGCTTGGTCGGGTTTTCAGGGCTTGGAGCAACGCTGAAACAAGAAACAAGACAACTGTCCGCGCAACAACTCCCAAACCGTCCGCCAACCATCGTTTCCGTAACCTTCAAAACCATCGCTTCCGAAAAATAAGAACAACAAAACCAGACAAAAACAAAAACAGAGTTTCCGATAGAAAGAAAAGCAGAACACACGCCCAAACAACCAACCTTTCCGTTAGAAAGAAAAACGCACTCACACACGCAAGTCGTTTCCGCCTCCCGGAGCGCCGCGGCCATGGAGGTCTCGTCGCTGCTGCTGAGGATCCAACTGGGCGGCACCACCTGCGAGCGGCTTAGTGTCCTTGGACCAAACGAATGGCCCAAGATCCAATTTAGATGACAATGATAAACCCGCAGTGTCCCTTTAACCCCCATGGTTGTATTAACCGCCAATGTTGACCCGCCCATATCTTGTTTTTTGCTGGTGGTTCGAATCCCAAAGTTGCTGCAAGCCATTGGCTCAGCCCCAACACCCCAAGCTGACGCCCTGAGGCCTTCTGGCACCAGATCACCAGACCCACAACACGTGGGCGGCACCGTCTCCAAATCCCAAGTTTCAGAGGCAGATGGGTTTCGAGGGAGACGAGCCACTTGAACTGACCACCGCCCAAAAGCCAAAAGGTTTTGCTTTTCCGTCGGGAAATAGGGGCGTCTCAACATGGCAACAAACCCCAGAAAAGGGACACCCCCAAACAAAAACCGACACCCCGAAATATGTATACGCGGCAAAACAAAAACACCTCAAACTGTGTGTGTGTGTGTGTGTGTGTGTGTGTGTGTGTGTGTGTGTGTGTGTGTGTGTGTGTGTGTGTGTGTGTGTGTGTGTGTGTGTGTGTGTGTGTGTGTGTGTGTGTGTGTGTGTGTGTGTGTGTGTTGGTGTGTGTGTGTGTGTGTGTGTGTGTGTGTGTGTTTTTGTGTGTGTGTGTGTTTTTGTGTGTGTGTAGTGTGTAGTGTGTAGTGTGTAGTGTGT